AAGTTATGCAATTTTTTAGCTTTGAAACACACACAATTTATAAAAATTCAAAGTATGCGATCGCGTTTTTTTTTTCAAAAATTTAGTTTAATATAAAAGGCTGAACGCGTCTGGTAGATAGAAGCTCTAAACGTTAGGAGCTAGAAAAGCCAACTAAACTGAGTCAAACAAAAATTGGAAAGCGCGAAGAAATTTCAAAATTATACTCTGCTTTTTTGCATATACTTACAATGCACATATATAAATATACATTCATACAATATACAGTAATTGTACTGAACGACTAGACATGTTTTTTTCTGTTCTTCTAGGTTTATTTCCCAATTGATGTACCTACATAGTGCTGTCTCACGCTGGAAAATGTTTTCCAGCAAATTTCGGCTACACGCTTTTGTTTATAATTTTTTACAAACAAAATAACCACCAACTAGTTGGTGCGATTTTTCTGCTGTTTTAATAAATTTCTAATGTAAACTTTTAATCCTAAATACATACGTATGTATGTATCTACAAGTATATTCATGTATTTTTAGATGTTCGTTTTTGTCGAACACGTATATATGTATGTAGGTGTGTATATTTGCATTACGATTTAGTACATGGATATCTCGATTTTCTATTGAGCTGTTAATGTACTGCCTCACCAATCCACTCGAACGCCTTATTTTGCCACTGTAATGCCTATGGTTGGTTATTCAGGCTATGAGTAGACGTGTTATTTGGCCAACATTGGAGTAATTTTTTGATGGAGTGGCGCAGTGTGTTGGGAAATGTTTTGGTGCGAAGGTGTAAATACATAAACACATGCCACATTTGACAAGCAGAAAACAACAGAGTTAAGAAAACAAGCGCCAGACCACCCTGCGGTCTTCACCCTGAGTCAAAGTAGCAACCTTTGCTGTCGATCATTTCGCTTTGACTGCATACGAGTATGCAGTTTAATGATTGCATCTTTAGAATGATGTACGTATGTATGTATGTATTTGCATGTGTATTGGCAATGTCTTTAAGAGGAGTGATAACACTGGATCACAAATTCGTATTTTTTGTTCACCGTATGCCCCTATATAATTCCTACAGTTGCGAAAATATAAATAGGAAACATACATTTTAGCAGTATTCGGCTATTTCCCTTTTGTTTATTTAACGGTTATTTTTTATTTTTTTTTGTATGAAAGTGTAGCTCGTTATCTAACAAACACCATCTAAGTAAAAATTTCATACTTCGTACAAAAATTAGCAAAAATTCGACAAAGTTTCATACAAATTTTTATTAGATTTTAATTAGATTTCTAAGAAATATTCTGAGTATTCAGTAGCCCATTCAATTTTATTATAACGAGGTGTAATTTTTAGTAGCTAGGACTTAACGTTGATTTTTGGATTTTTTTTGTGGTAGGTGTTGCTGAAAAAAAAATGCCGAACATACTTTTTATGGAAGAAACTGCGTCAGCAAAAATTGCTAAAAATCAATGTTAAGTCCTAGCCTTTTCAAACGTGCACTTTACTATACCTACTAAATTAAGCACGCTACAAAACTACATACATTCTAAAAATCCTGATCAAAAAGTTTTAAATTTGGATGCAATTTTTTATAAATGTTCTATAAAGTTTGAAATTTTTATTTACATGGTTTTTTAGTTTGCTATATTTACATAAATAATAAACATTTTTTAAACAAAGAAAAATAGCCAAAACTTGTGAAAATACATATCTCTTCCGAAAATCGAGTTAATTTTTTTATATGGAAGCTTTCCGTTAATAGATTGAATATTTTAAATTAAAATTATTGAAAACAAATAAATAAACGTAAGTAGCAAACAACATAATTTTGAACATTGGTGCTATCATTGACCATAGCTATGTAAGGTATCGGTCATATCATTAGCACCCCAATTTCAAAGTGACACTGTTTGCAACTTATGTTTATTTATTTTTAAGAATTTTCAATTAAGCTATAGTTCATTTTCTAACAAAACCAAGTTTAAAACTTTGTAGAAAACTAAAAAAATTAAAAAAAAAAATTCGTCAAAATATCAAACTTTTTTCTCAGAAGTGTTAGAATTTATTTGAATATACAGTTTTATTGACCATTAAAATTTTTTGCCGAAGGTGTTGCGGTCTTCTTCCTTATACAAATAAATTCTGTTTACATATGTATTCGTTAAAATAAAAAAAAATCAACGATAATTTTTAGCCACTTTAAACTTGCACTAAAATTTAATCAATACTCCAAAGTTTGAAATTAGGTTGAAAATGGGGTTTTTTAGTTTTCTACAAAGTTTTAAACTTGGATTTTTATGGGTTTTGTTACAGAATAAACTGTATTTTATTTGAAAATTAAATGAAAAATAAATAAATAAACATACAGTCAGTCAATAAAGTTTAGGTACAGCGAATTTTTACAATATGGGCAACTATTTTTTAAATATTTTATTTTTCGCGAATTTTTTATAAAAATATGGTTAATTCTACAACAAAAAACCCAAAATTCAAAGTTCCAAACCTTGTGCAAAATTAAAGAAAATTCTGCAAAATTTCATTCAAATATTGCACTTTTTATTTATTTATATTTTATTTTTCGTTGAAGGTGTCGCACATTTTTTCCATATAAAAAATGTATCAAACATTATTTTATATGGAGAAAATGAGCGACACCATCAACAAAATAAATTGCTATAAATCAATGATAAGTCCCAGGTACCTCAAACTTGCACTTTGTTATACTAAAATTGAATGGGCTAAAAAACTGCATACTCAACTTTTTTCTAGAGAAAATAAAAAGTGAAATATTTGAATGAAATTTTGCAAAATTTTCTTTAATTTTGCACAAGGTTTGGAACTCTAATTTTTTGTTTTTTTTTTGTTGTAGAATTAACCATATTTTTATAAAAAATTATCGAAAAATAAAATATATAAAAAATAGTTGCCCGCATTGTAAAAAATTCGCTGTACCTAAACTTTATTGACTGACTGTAAGTGGAAAACAGTATCATTTTGAAAGTGGGATGCTAAGGATATGACCGATACTCTATGTCATCCCCATTTTCCAAAAATCTATAGTAATCTTATTATTTGTTAAGATATTGTTTTGAATATTAACTTGAAGTAAATAAGCGTCCTTCGTTATTGAGATATCTGAGTTTCGGTGCAACATCCATTTTCCAAAAATTTAAGATAGCCTCATTAATTGCAAAAAATTATTGCAAATATAAATTATGAGTGAAATTACTTCTGAAGATACTAATTTATCGCTGTTTTCGTATACATATACATACATATCGATGGCAGCAACGCCCTACTTCAAAATTTGGTTGCAGAACGCCCTATTTCAGAATTTTATTGGAAAACACCCTGTTGTTGTTGTTGTTGTAGCAGCATACAAATTCCCCAAAGACTTTTTGGGGAGTATTGCTGGAGTAACAGACCTTGGCCAGATATAAATCTGGGTCGTTCCGGTTACGTAGACCCGACTGTCGTGGGAAACCTGTCTCAGAATTTGGTTGAAGAATGCCCTATGCGAACAACCGTTATGCGAACAAAGTCATAAAACCTTTGTGCACAAGTGCGCTCAGGTATACAAAATAATATCTTAAGTTCAAAATATTTAAAATAAGGATTTAATTTTTATTTTTGTTTTATTCAGCCGGTATTTTTAAAGTACATGAATATACTACGTATGTAAGTCTTAATAATTTTAAATACACATATTTTTACGTTTTTATTTATTTATACATAAGCCATATTATGTACATGCACGTGTATGTACATACACCTCATATATTCTTTGATTTCATGAGTAACTGAAATACATACATATCTTTGGTCATATGAAATAGTAGTAGCTGTAAGTCGGGAGGCTGGCTTTAGTACAATGTGATTGATGACAGAATATTAACTTACTAACATCAGAACTATTATTTTCATGTATATTTGCCAAGAGCTCTTCAAAGGCACATTATACTAAAGCCAGCCTCCCGAATTCAGCTACTATTCCATATGACAACAGATATATACATATACATATATGTTTGCTTTTATATTTTTAATGGACTTATCAAGGCAAATTCACCTTTGGACTTATGTTTTTCTTTCCTAAATGAAAAAACGCCAATTACTACATATTATAAGGCACTGTCAAATCTACAATTTCTCAAATAACGTACCAACATTCAGATGTAGCCATTGCAAATTAAACGTAACAAACTTTTGCGTGATGGTGTTCGATGTATATTATTATTTTATTTTATTTTTTTTTTACTGTAAGTTAAATTCATGCTTAACTCAGAGTTTAATCCATAGAGTTTTAATTTGTTATTTCAAAATTATGTATATGGATAAAAAACATCAATAAATTGGTTAAACAAAATCTAAAAAAAAATATTATAATCGAACACTTTTGAGCCTAAAAACGCATTTTTTGTTACATTTAATTTGTAATGGTCATATGTACATACATAGAAGTATATGTATGCCATTGCTTTAATATTACTTGAATAAATACATACATATGTAGGTATGTATGTATTAAAATTTAATTTCTAAAATTATTGTCGTATAAATAGAAATGATTACAATATTATTTTGATTCCGAAAAACAATGAAATTGGGAGTATATGGAAGCCTAATTTAAAGTCTAAATTTTCAAATAATGTGGGTCATTTGGAAAAATAGGTATATCTAGCTTATCTAACGTTCAAAGTATATATTAGCCGTCATCGATTCGCCAACAGTTAGTTAGTGGCGAAACGAACGAACTCAATGACCAAACTCGCTAGCTAACTTTGTTGTTGCCCTCAGATGCAAAATTTTTCGCTTATAGGGAATTTACATGATTCAACTTTCACAGGCGATTAGTTGAACCAAAAGCTGAACGAAAGTAGGCAGCCGACCAACTTCATTGGAAGCGATTAGTTGAAAGGCCGTTTACACCAGGCGATTGTTGCATTCAATTAAAAATCGCCTGAGAAATCGCCTCATGTAAATTCCCTATCAGCGACCGGAACTCAAACATAGCGGACATAGAAGTGGCGAATCGATAACGGTTGTTCATACTTTGCATAAATGCTTCTTTCAATTGAATTACATGGAAATGCCTTTTCAGTTTTCAAGCTTAAAAAAAAAAATGTTTTTTTTTATAATAATTGCAAGGTTTGAGTACTACACGTACATACATAAATAAAATGATTACATGAGAGTTTGCTTTGCAAAATATCCTTAGAACTTATGATTTGTATTACTATGTATATCATTGATTTTCGTAATAAAATTCAATATCCGCAATTACGAGTATGTACCATAATTCTATAGAAAAGATCTTACGAACAAAATTTGGCCACATACAAATTTTGAAATCTAGATATAATATGCTCTTAAGTGTGACATTTTTCTTTTTCACATATAAATTAAATGCATTCATTAAGTGTAAGACAATTAAAGCAATTTAAAATTTTTTCTGAAATATATAGTACACGCATCAATATGTTTAAAGTACATTGAAAATTCGTATAAACTTATAGTGAATCTCACTCTGAAAAATACTACAACTTCTTTAAATTGTTATAATTGTGCGCTACTGCATTAATTGCTGAGCAACGTCTACAGCGTTTTCAACTTCTGCCCCCGTATCATACTTCTGCACCGCATCATCGGTACATTCTTCGGTAATCAGTTGTCAATCGTTGTACATGCCATCGACCAAGAAATCCATTCGGCGATAATGTCGCGTTGACCAACAATCGCGGAAGCGACGATAAGTGGTAATTACCACTCCTATTGCCAAAGGTATTGTGAAGAGGACTGTCATAATAGGTACAATAATATCGCGGCTGCTGTGATAATTGAATCCGTTGTTTAATTCTTGTGATGGCTGCGCATCCGGTAGTACGACAGGCTCGCTTAATTCTGGCAATTTAGAGCTAGATGATTCTGGCTTTTTATTGTTAACGAATGGTTCTCCTGGCAAATGTGGAAAATCGCCTAATCCAAATGTTATGCTTGGTTTTTTGGGTTTCGGCGTGGTAGTGGTTGTTGTTGTTGGTTTTGTTTTGGTCGTTGTTGGCATTATTTTGGTCGTAGTTGTAGTGTTTGTGATTGTGCTTTTTGTAGATCTTACTTCGAGGGTATCATTACCAGTTTGCGCAACAACATCATTTTTGGCAGCTGCGGGTGCAAGTGTAGTTGTTATAGTTTTGTTTACCACGCTTGTTGGATTCAAAGATTTTGTGGAATTTATGTAAATGCCTTCATTGGTATGGTTTTGATTACCTGTAGTAATGTTGTCACTTTTAGTGGCATTATACTTAATTGAATTTGATCTATTAGATTGAAGGGTATTCATATCTACAACTATACTTGGTGCGATCTCAACTAAATTTGGACCGGTTCTATTGGAATTTATTGATAATGCCGGTGCAACAATATCTCCCTTTAAGGAGTCTTGCATTTCTGTCGGTTTTGGTACATTTTCCGTGTTTGTTATTTTGCGACTCTGCACTTTATCACCAGTTTCTTTGCCTGTAGTTCCATTTATCACATCCTGAAGTAACCTCTCGCCGACATTAGGCGTATTTGTAATTTGATACTTTATTATGGGAATATTAGAGCCATTGTTTGGCAATGATGACGTTGTACTTGCAACACTTTCGCCAGCAACCAAATTTGGATATTGCTGATGCAGCAACAATTGCAGATAACATGCGAAAAATAGCGAAATTACTTTTAATGCCATAACAGGGATCTTATCACTTTGAGCTGCATTCACGAAAGATAATGTATAAAACAAAAATAATCGCAGAAATTGATGAACAGTCGCCTCTTTAACCAGATTCCCAAAATTTTTCTTTATTTTCGTTTGTAAAAGAAGTTTATCAAAACCAATGGGTATGTTTCGCAACCAGCTGATTAAGGTTAGTGATGTCGGAAAAACATCGATACATCGAAAAATTTCCACTCGATGTCTAAATAGTATACGATGCATAGATGTTTTATTTCTTTTAATTGACATCTCTGGTATCGAAACGTCATTCCAGTTTTTCAATTGTACAAAAAGGGGGTATGAATTTGACCCAAAAATTTAAATGGATTAAAAAAGTTCCAGTAGAAACATAATTAGCTAAGTTGCAGTGATTTATTTAAAATTTTCTACAATTTTACTAATAACACATTTTCTTGTGAAATTTTATCTAAAAAATTCTATGCAAATCGATGCATCGAAAAATACCGATGTACATTTCGATGCATCGAATCAAAAAAAAACATCGATGTACTTTTCCACTGACATTACTAATTCAGCTAGCAACAATATGCAGGGTTGATTTCGAAAAGTATGTATGAGCGCTCAAATTGGAGAGTTGTAATGGCTGCGATCCCGCACATACTGCGCATCCATATATTTTTGCGATGCACCATGCTATGCAGTAAGAAAAATTCTCTCCAATTCCCTCTCAATTAAAGAAATTTGGGTTTCCTAATGCCAACTACGGAAGCGATTCCTACATAAACGCGTAATATTTTGGGTTGACATCTTTAGCATGAACTATTTAATTTTTCTCAAGATATACTAGGATTTTTATGAAACTTAAAGCGGCTTGTGCCGGGGGGTCTACTTATTAATAGTTTTTTTTTAGATATTTACTATTTAATTTTTCGTGCTTACACCTTGCAAATGCACAAATAATTTTACATTGCCTTGACACCAGAAGGCGTGACCTATCCCTCTTCTTTGGCAACACAGAAAGAAGAATTCTCCTGATTAAGGGTTATGATTATGAAAGCAAAGGAGTTTAACAGTGCCGTATTAGGAAATGCCAAGTCTTTCTCTGTTGGCCTTGACATTGCAGGGGCGCCTTCGACTTATTTTTCCTGTGTTAACTTTGACGTTTTTGTCCATTCGTAACACAAGACCAAGCAGGCGGAGCCTCTGCATCTTAAAATGTCCATATCCTGGTAAGGGTCATATAGTTTATTATCCCATCTTCTTCGAGACTCGCCGTCGCAAATGTGTTCCGCAAATTCTCTGTAGAATCTCCCAAATTTCGCAAGACTCGTCTCATTGTAATGTATGCAACAGAAACTTGATTTTGACTCTGGTCAAGAGATTTATATCTTTCCCATCAAAAGGATAACCAATAGTTCTGGACTCTCTAAGACCTCCAACTTCTGTCCAGTACTTACTGCCGAGGTCCAAGTACCAATTGCAATAGAAAATTTGGTGCCAGGTCTAAAGAAACCCGCTCGTGTTGTGCCATCCATCTTTGATCTGTCTGCGTACCAGTGTACTAAGATAATCCATTTGACCAGACATCTCGGTCTGCAATTTTGACATTGAATTTTCTTTCAAAGCAGGTTTCCTTGGCATAGCGTCGGAGAACTCGCAGATTCCCAGACCTGTTATTATGCTCACAGATATGTTTGTGTATTTTTTTTTAATAGCACTTTCAGAATTAAGCATTTGCAAGTTCCTCGAAGCTACTGCTACTTGGACCAAAATATGGAGTGCAGTCCAACCTTGAATCGACTCTAAGGCCGTGTGGAGTATGTTATTTCTTGCACTGTTCTGCAACCTAATCGTACCCGTACCACCGTACGCCTCCTATGAGCCTCATTCATGAGATCCCTGATGTGTATACCTGACGGTTACAACTTTGTTTGGCCCTAAAATTTTTCAGCCAGTTCGTTCCCGTGGACACCACAGTGTGCCCGTACCCACATAAGTTAAAGCGTATTCCAATTTTCAACGAGATTCAGCCTCAAATTACATTCCTGCACTATTTTTGAAGAGGTGTGAGCAGTTTGCAAGGCCTTTAGTGCAGATTGGCTGCCACTGCAGACGATGATTTGATGTTCACGCCACCTTTCGCGGGTTATCCTGTCTGCTACTTTAAGGGCCGGTTGCTCAAATCCTGATTGACACTAATCACCGATTAACATCGTTATCGACGTTTTCGGCTCCATGCAAATAACATGGTGTCGGTAACGTCGATAACGATGTTTAACCGGGGATTAGTGTCAACCAGGCTTTGAGCAACCGGCCCCAAGCATTGCAAAAGTTTCCGATTGAATGAGCGTGGTCATCGTACCTAAAGTAGGGAACCATCAGAAGTTAGCCTCCAGATTTCATCCGGCTCCAGTTCCATTTCCACTATTTTGCCCGTCGGTATAGAAAGTTTTTACTGAATACCCCAAAATAGTGTCTGAAAAATTTCCGACGTGCTTTCTGCCGAAAGGGACTTCAGGTAATACGTTCGACAAACTTCTGAACTACTCTCTGTGGCCAGAATGACGATCGTCGTGTCACAATCTAAAAAACGCTGTGGACACTTTGCTCTCATTGCCTCCTTTTGGATCGATAAATCCGATAAAGGAGTAAGAGCCCCTTCTGAAGTTGAATTCATGCGTCTTTGGCCAGGTCTATAAGCTATAAGTTCCACTCGTTGACTGCAATTACGTACCATTTCATTAAAAGGTTTCACTCCTTTACAATTTCTGACCCAATAAGGTATATAAATGACTATTTCAGATTATTAATATTTATCTTATTGACTTATTTAGCTACATTTATACATACATACATTCATATCACATAAATTTAAAGATTGCAACTTAAATCTATAAGTATTGCCAAATATTCATAATTTAGTAATGCATTAAAACCAAGTTGAAAAATATATCCCACTTGAATTTTATAAATAATAATTTTATTTAGTTGATGAATCCGGGAAGGCCTCACGCGGTGGCACGAAACTCAACATCATAATATGTCGCGTGTACGACTTAGTTGCTCGGAATAAAATATCAGTGCCATGTAGACGATCCAAAACACCTAGCACGCCGAAGCAATTGTTGAATCTGAAAGATTAATTTTTAATTTATAATTAAATAGCTGTTACAAAATGGCTTTGCTATTTTATTAAGTAAATCTTACTTCAAATGGTGAAAGTCATGCGCCTCTGGACTGGGAAAGAAGGGCAAATGATAACCGGAATGCGCATTGAGTGTCGATAGGATAGCTAGAGCAAACCACATCCAAGCCGTGGCAACGTGTGTGTTCATTAGAAAAACGCCCAGAAATGGAGGCAGTAAATTGCTAAAGATATGCTCAATGGGATGACAATAGATTGCCGTAACCGCTATTGGTGCTGTCCATTCGTGATGTTGCTTATGTATAAATTTATAAATATGTTTATTATGCAACAGTCGATGGGAATAGTAGAAGCCTAACTCTTCCATTAGAATGCACACGGTAAGTTCTACACAAACCCAGTGGAATGTTGGCAATTCGCGTATCGAGTTGAGGCCACGCAATGTCATTAGTTTATAGCTGAGAAAAGCGAATGGAATACCAACAAATAGCTGATTGCTTATTACGCGCCACATAACCTGATAGTGGAGAAAAAGAGACCATATTATTGTCAAGTATAGTGCCACAGAGCAGAAGGAGTTTTTTTGAGCGATATTCGATATGCATAGCCTCTATATGTTTTTTTTTGTCTAGTAGGGAATTTACATGAGGCGAGTTTACAGGCAACTTTTAGTTGAATTCAGCAGTTGACTGGTGTAAATTGCTAAGGGTTTGGTCGAGCTTCTGCTCTAAATTGAGGAGTGCTTCTTAAAGTTATCAAACGAATAGGAGGACCTTCGGTTTAACACCGTCTCCGAACGGCAGATGGTGTTTGTAAGAAGCTTTTTCCTGATTGAAATATGCTCTAACTTTGGCATTGCCCCAAGCCTAAAAGCAGACCCTTCTTCCGCGTACTCGTCAGTTTCCTTATTTTCCGAAATTCAACTATGCTTTGGGACTCAGTAAAGAGTGACGATGTGATGTCTAAAAGATTTTACGACATTCCTTAATTTATATCAAGTTAGTGCCTACCGACTTCAAGGTCTTGATCGCAGCCTGACATTTTTATAAGTAAGGCGAGTTTTGTGTGAATAAGGTCCATAATGCTTACAAACTTTGCTTAGATCGCAGCCTGAAAAATATTGCAGCAATCTGGAGGTCTGTATGTCAGATCCCATTTCTATGTCCAATTAGGATCTAAAACCTGTGAATACTGAAATTTTGTCACTGCTTGAAACGGTGTTAGATTCCCTGTCCTTTCTGTGAGATATTTCGAAGTTGCGGCTAAAGTCGATCTCCGTGAACCGATAGTAAAACCTCTCTGTTTATTAAATAATGTTTACGCCCAATTCTGTCTGGAAGAGCGGTAGCCTGTTAGACGCCCTTATTAAAATCATGGAGCGACACGTGAAGGCCAGCACAGTTTGACTGCGCCATGGAGACATCATTACACCTCCTACTGCACTATGAGGCCATTTCACGTAGAAGGAAGAGGAGTATAGGGCATACATATGTGGCCAAAAGAGGAGCATATACGCTCCCCATGCCCGAAATCTATTTTGAAATTTATTGTGTCTCTAGGGCTTCATGAGGTGTTGTGAAGAGCTGTGTGTCCAGTAGACCCACTGGTCTATATAGGTATGTACATATATAGACGCCCTAGTCTTCGTTGCAATGACTTTTTATGCTATTTCAACAACAACGCCGCAAGCTTTAGCTATTTTTCGTAAAAATAGTTTAGAATTGTTGAAAATCTATATTTTAATAATAATACCCAATTCTTTATTTTAACATTTTTTAATTCTAACAATTTTTTAGGGGTCATCCCAATGCAGTTCTTTGGCGTTTTTGGGGACCTATAAAATATGTTTCATATTAAAAAATGTTTAAATAAACGACATATAACTGTTATAGAAAGTCTCCTAAAGAGAAACAGGGCTTTCCGATCGAAAAATATTGATTATATATATCTATACCATTTTTACGAAAAAGTATTTTTTCCCATATAAAATACATGGAAAGCTTAATGGGCTTTGAGGCATTTCTAAATATATATATTTTTTTTTAACAAAAAAATGTGGGTATTCTTTGTTTCCATTTAAAAAATCTTAGGGGGTGAGAGCTTAACATTTTAAACTTTTTCCCCGCACATGTTTTTGGACTACCTTAATGAGCATACATATATAGCACAGGTATGTGCAACTTTTCGTACGGTGTGTTAATTGCAGTACAAGATCTTAGCCAAAATTTTAACTTCAAGTCGATACGGGTAATCGTTATCCTACAGTATTTCGT